AGATATTTAAAAGATACTGCAGAATAAGGGTTCTTGTACAAGAACTATGACTGACCTGTCGCACAGTAAATCAAATATTTCACATAATCCGTGATCACAATTTAATGTAATACAGGGGAAGGGATCGTCTCCACAGGGATTGTGTGATTCACTCTTTCGTATTCTAATGCAGTAAATAAAGGGGGATTTTTCTTTTATTATTTAATGAAAATAAAATAACAAAGCAATTAAATTAAAAAGGAACTGACTATCAAGGGGATGTCTGGCTCAAGGGATGATGCAGTTATGACACTTGTGTTTTATCATAAATTCAATAAAGTTAATTCTTATTAAAGTATCAATAAATTGGTTATAGTTATTAACAAGCTCTGACAACCAATTTTTCCTTACAGTGTAGGTAATTAAGGTACGACCGTTAACGACCCCTAATTAAGCAAATAAACCTAGGTGCGCCCATAAGAATATTGCTTAACCGCATTTCAATCTAGAAAAACCCATTTCAAAACAATTACTACCTAAGAGGAGCAATTAGATTTGATTGTCTAACCCCCGGAAAGGAACTATTCAACTCGGTTGTCACCTATTCAAGTGCGAATACAATTACGGATATCCTACCTGAATTGACTTTAGATTATCAGACTAATTTAAATATCGGTACCAAAATATTCAATCAATCTAACAATCACAAACACTATTATCAGAATTAGACAAATATTGATAATAAAAAAGAACTTCTATAAAGAAAATTAAGAATCTCCAAAACAAAAGAACCAAAACATTATCACCCCTCAAACCAGAAAAATATCTACTCCATAATCAAATAACAAAGAACAAAAGAGAAAGATAAAGTCATAGTGGAAGGGGAAAATCTTCTCTGTCGATTTGCTCCTGCGCGATCTATGAATCTGTCAGTCTCCTGCTCCTGTGCGTTTCTGCCCTCGCCCTTCTCCCCTTGGCAATAGGCGTGTGATCCCTCTTTTTATTTAATGTTTGCCCTAATTATTTTGTAGATGGGCTTTTGGGCCTTTAATTAATTTTATTTCCTTTTTCTGCCAATTATGTCAAATTTAATATTTGCCCTCTGCACACAGCAAATAAACAATTCGCATATAAATTAGGTAGAATCCAATCAAAATCACCAAAATATCGCGTATGATATGAATATAAAACGCATACGATTTTTAACTATCAATGACCATAATCGGATTGAGTGTTTCTCTGATGCTGATTGGGTTGGATCTGAAATTGATTGTTGATCACTCTCTGGATATTGTGTATTTGTAGGTGGTAATTTGGTTTCGTGGAAAAGTAAGAAACAAAACGTGATATCTAGATCTAGTACTGAATCAGAGTATCGGGCAATGGACGCATTCCGTTTGTGAGATCATTTGGATTCATCAATTTTTGACAAAATTGGATTTTGGAAATTCAGCTCCAACATAGCTATGGTGTAGTAATTAGGCCGCTCTTTACATTGCATCGAATCCCGTATTCTATGAGTGGAATAAAAATATTGAAATTGATTGTCATTTTACGGGAAACGATCTAACAAGGAATGATGCTTACATGTTATGTAAGAACATGATATGAAACTGGTGATCTACTAATCAAAGCCTTACCTAGCACTCTACTAAAATATCTTTGTGACAAATTGGGCCTGATTATATTTATGCTTCAATTTGAGGGAAAATATTACTCAATTCGTTCCTTAAAAATCTATTCATTTTTTTCATTTTGATTCGTCCTATAAGAAGGTATCAATTTTATTTTTTAGTCTATTACATTCCAATATAATATTAATATTTTTAAAACTTCTTAAAAAAAAATGATATATAAATATATGACAGATAAAGTATATATATTGTTATATATATATATATATATATTAGTTAGCTTATCATGTAGAGTGTGGGCACTAGTGTTGTAGACTATGAGTCCAAACTCATGCTAGTGTAAAAAGTTATATATCAAATGTGTATATATATATATATATATATTTATTTAAAATAATAGTAAGAAATAGAACTACATTTACATAAGATTATATAACCTATTAGAATAATATTATATATTATAATTTTATCTCCCAACTTAAACACACCCAATATATACTAACAAAAAATCAACAAAATATACGAAAATATTATTCTTTATAATATTTTTACGATTTTCCATACCTAGCAATAAATATATAAATAATTATTTTATATGATCTATAAATATTAATTTCATATTTTAATATAAATTAAATTTTAATATAACATAAAAATAAAAGAAAAATAACTATCTAATTTAATTAGAAAAATACTAATGTAAAATTCAACAAACAAATACAACCTTGGAAACTATTAAAAGGTAATTAACCCTTCAAAATAAACGTGAGTCAGTGTCACGTGAAGGGGCAACTTGGAAACACATTTTTCATACCTCAATAGTATAAATTTCTACCCCCAAAATCCTCCCTCATTATTCACTTTAAACTTGCTGTGTATTTTTTATTTTATTTTATTATATATATATACATATTTTGCATGTTTTATTATGAGTAACTTTTTAAAAAATAAAAAAAATAAAATAGTTTTGAATATAATATTTTATAAAATAAATGAATATTGAATATGGTATTTTTGGAAGCAAAAAGTGAAATGGTATAATAAAAAAATTTAAAAGAATAAAAAGATGCATGTTAATCAATTATTACTTAAACAATCAAAATACATATATTCTTTAGATGTATGTATTATTTTATATTTAAATAATGATTGTATATGATATTTATATATATATATAATAAGATTATGATAATTGCATAATAAAAAAAATTAAAAATAATAAGAGAAAAAAAAAGAACAACTTCTAAGGGCATACCATATAATTAGAATTAATATAAATAAAGAAATATTTTGAATACAATATAAATTTAGAATAATAATAATATATGGAAACCATCAGTAATAAATATTCCATTTATATGTTAAAATTATAATTATTCGTCTACGGGTTGTCCACTAAACATATATACAATTAATTTATAATAAATAATTTTATTCACTCATAATTTTATTATTTTTAATAAACTTTTTATAATATTTTTATTTTATTTTTGAATAGTTGTATGATGTGATATAAATAGACATTAATGTGATATTTTGAATATAAAATTAATTTTTAATATAATATATAAAAAAAAATAGGTATTTGATTTGATATTATTGAGGGAAAAAATGGGATGAACAGTGTATTTAAAATAGGAGTAGGAGGGTCCATTAAAGAATTTCGAATCATAAGAATTAAATAGGAAATGTTTATATTTGGTTAAACATTTTTTCAAGATCCTCTTTTCCCTAATCAAAGAGTACATACATAGACATGAATAAAAGTAGAAAATAGATTGGATTGGATAAAATTCAAAGAGGGGTGATTATGAAGGGAATGCATATAAAGATGAGGATGAAGATGAAGATGCCGACGATTATTCGAAGAATAGTGTGGTTGTTGAGTGTCGTCGTAGGCTTGTTATTCATGGCGGCCGTTGCATTTCTACCGCTCTCTGATTTTGCCGAGTATCGACCATTTTGGAGATCGTCAGACTTGCCCCCAATTGTAGTAAGATATTATCATCTTTTATTCTTTTCTTGCAATTACAAATCTGTTTCTTTGTATTTGGTTTGGGAAGATTTTTTTGTTTATATATTTTTATTTAAATAATATTTGATGAGATATTTTGTGAGAGAAAAAAAATATATATATATTTTTCGAGAAACATAGAGCTTATGCACCTTCAGAAAAATAAATAAATAATAAAAACTTGCTCCCTCTTTCACTATATTATATATATGTATGTATGTTATCGAAGTATATGTTCTAAGTTAATGACATTAAAAGTTTGATCCGATTATATCTTTCAATGTGTTAAGAGTTTATATCACTACAAAAAAAATAATATATTTGTAACGGAATTCCGTCCCTAAATTTCACGTAGCTAACGTAATTCCGTTCCTAATTCCGTCTCTAATGTCATTAGTAACGGAAAAAGTAGATTTAGAGACAAAAAAAATTTTGTTACAAAAATGATTTTTTCTTGTAGTATATTAGTATAGAAAAATTGAGAGTTGTAGTCTTAAAATCGACTAATGACTTCTCTATACGAACAACACAAACACTTGTAAGTTCATATCGTCAAATCCTGCCATAGAAGTCTTAAAATCGTGCTTTTAAAAGTAGTCAAAGTTAGGGTTGTATATGAATCGAATCCAAGCGAATAATGTAGTATTTCGATTCATTTTGAATTTTAAATAATATTCAAATTCGATTCGAAATAGCTTTCAAACTATTTGATTCAATTTGTGGGGTTTAAAATACATTTTTAACGATATCAGTAAATATTCTATTCAAAATTCGATTTGTTTTTGTACTATTCAATTTGATTCAAAGACATTTCATTCGAAATTTTGTAATTAAAATTTTCAAAAACAATATTAAATCAACTTGATTAAAAAAACATATATGCATATTTTATTTATTATTAATATTTCAAATTAAAACATAGAAGTTCTTCCTCTAACAAAAAATAAAAATATTATTGTATAGTTGTGTTTTAATTATACGATAGATTTATTTATATAAAATTTAAAAAGCAATATTCTTAATAAATTTAGCTTGATATATTTAATTTAAAAGAAATATACCGTAATTTTATAAAATATATGTTGTATTTTATACTATGGATGTATATATATTTAGTATTGAATCAAATATTTATGGATGTCGAAAAGAATAATGAAATATTTTTATTTGTATTTAATTTATATTCAAATTGAATATTTTTATTTGGGATTCTTTTTAGTCGAAATAGAGGATTGCGCGTGATTGTCTAGGAAAAAAAATACATTTTTTAATAGAATATTATAAAAATTACATATCAAAATAATAATAATAATAATAAAAATCATCAAGTAAACAAATTCACTATTTTTACATATATTTTTGTACAGTGTAATATGACTGTGACGAAAGACGACAATCTAGACAAGGTGCTTGCATCAGCGGGGTCTTTGGACAAGACGGTAATAATAACCATAGTGAACAAGGCATATGTTGATGGCCATGGCATGACAATGTTGGACTTGTTCTTGGATGCTTTCCATCGACGAGGTTTGAGGGAACTGATGGATCGTCTTGTGATTGCGGCCGTTGATGAAACCTCGCACCGGCGGTGCAGATATCTCCGTGGGCTCCATTGCTACAAGATGAAGATGGACGGCCAAGATTTTACCGGCGAGAAAGTTTACATGTCGGAGGATTTCATCGAGATGATGTGGAGAAGAACCGTGTTCTTAGGAGATGTTCTCAAGCGTGGCTACACCATACTTTTTACGGTAAGTTTTTTAACTTGTTTCTTTATTTTGAATTTATTGCAAGAGTGGAAAATTAGCGCTTTTTCGTTTGAAATTTTTGTTCTCTTGTTTCTTTTTATTTTTTCTAAATACTATATCTATTACTACCTTCGTCTCACATTCGATGTCTTGGTCACTGTAGACATGAGAATTTAGAACAAATATAATTAGTAGATAATTAAAAATGTATTAGTAAAAATAATTAACCTATAATATAAATAATTATAGATTAATATTAAGATAACTAATTAATTTAATTAAAATTTAAAAAAAATTAAATTTGAAAATTTAAAATAAGATTAAGATGGGTAATCATTTTTCAAAAAAGAAAAGTGACATGAAATGTTGGACAGACAGAAACGACAATATAGACATGGTAAGTGGGACCGAGGAATAGTTATTTTCATTACAAAAGATTACATTAATATATTATTATCACCTAAAAAACTTAAATACAAAAGAAAAACACAAAAAAGAAATGTATATTTCAATACTATATATTTTAGAGTAAATTATATTTTCATAAATAGAAAATATATACTATTCTCATGTGTGCCTACAAAAATTGTGTGAGATTTATCTATATTTTTAAGAACTCTACATACCTTATTAGTTGAAAATGTAACGGAGAATATGTTTATTTTTTTTATTTTCTTATTTGTTTAATGTGAAAATTCGCAATCGTTACTTTTATGCACTTTAAGTAAATTTTTGATCGAACCTAATAGCAAACTAAGCTAGCAAAACAAGTCATATTAAGCGAGTCATGTATGATATACAAGATTTGATATGATCTCATAGTCACAAGTACCATACACAGAATATGTTTACTTGCTTGAGCTGCAGTTGGGATGTGTATTTTTGTTCAGCCAAATATATTATCTCTTAAGAATGTGTTACACATGATCTCCATCAAATTTTTACTTTAATACAACTTACCTATAATATACTAACATATTCCTTTTTTCATAAAAATATGAATATTTTTATTTAAAATGTTAATTAAAACAAACTTTAATTTAAGAGAGATGCCATTCGAAGTCAACATAAAAATTATAACGAAAATCTAGGTTGCCTATAATATATATATATATTTTTATAATTTTTATTATTCAATCTCATAACAATATAAAATAGATATATTTATAACACAATAATAAATCAAAATATAAATAAAAACACAATAAAAAAAATTAATTATACCCTGTGTTTGTTTGAGAGTTTAGATTTTGAATTGAGATCTAAATAGTAAAAATTTTGAATTGTAATAGTTGTATGATGTGATATAAATAGGTATTGATGTGATATTTTGAATGTAAAATTAATTTTTAGTATAATATAAAAAATAAAAAATAAGTGTTTGATTTAATATTTTTGGAGAAAAAAATTTGATGAATGATAAAATTTTAGCAAAATCCCACAAACTTAACAAGTATTTGTAGTATGTTTGATGTGTATTTTTATTTTTTTTAGCTCAAACAATGGTTGAATATGATATATTATATGAAAACATAAATATATTTTCATTGGAAACAAAAAATTAAATAATAAACTGCGTTTTATTGTACGTGAATTCCATTCCATTCCAGTCCAACTGCCACGACGCCTAAATAGGCAATATGTATAAATAATCTCACATTAAATTACTATGATTTAAAAGTTTAATACTCCTTTCGTCCTAGAATTATAGTCTGAATTGTGTTTGACACGAGATTTAAGAAATATTGATATTATATTGACAGTGGATAAAAAGTACGGTAAAAGATTTTTTTTCACTTGTGAGTGTATTAGTGTAAAAAGTAGTGACAATTGTGTAATAATAATGAAAAAGTAAGGATAATTTTATAGTGATATGATTATTTATGAAAATGAAACTATTATTTTGGGACGGACGAAAATGGTAAACAAGACTATTATATTGGGATGAAGGGAGTATAAAAATTGTATTATTAAAAAGTTATTCACATAAAAGAGTACTCCCTCCATCCGCCGCTTGTACTTAACATTAAAAATTTTCTTATATTTATATAATTTTTTGTACAAATTTCTTTCTATTAGTATTATAAGACACCAATAAAAGTATTTTTGTAATTTTTTCTTAATTTGTATTATATTTTAATATAATAATTAATATTTAAATATTAATATAAAAAATAAATGAAACGGAAGATATAGTAATATATATATTTTTTCCCATGAAAATAGGAGCTAACTAAGAATCAGTTTAGACAGATTATATTTTAAAAGTTTCACAGTAAAACATTTATATTTCTTGTTTTTTTTTTTCCATTTGCATAAGAATGACTTTGATATGATTTTTTTAAATATATATATATATATTTAATACTTTCGATCCGATTTTAAAAAGTCACATCTATATTTTGGGTTACTTAATATTAAAAATATTGTTATATTTATATATATATATATTTTTACAAAAATTCTTTTATTAATATTATAAAACACTAATAAAAATATTTTTTTCTATTTTTTTTATTTGTACTATGTTTTCGATATAATACTTCATATTTAAAGATCAGGATGCAAAAAATAAATATAACCCGTAAAGTTAACGAAAACAGTACGACATTTTAAAAAAACGAAGCCTAACTTTTATCTTACAGGACACAGACGTGTTATGGCTGCGGAACCCTTTCCCACACCTCACCCAAAACCATACCATCGACCTCCAAGTCAGCACCGACAACTTCAACGGCGACGAGTGGTCGGAATCCAATCCCATCAACACCGGCTTCTACATGGTCCGGCCGAGCAACCGCACCGCCGCCCTATTCGACTCGTGGCACTCAATGAAGGACACCTCCGGTGGCCTGAAAGAGCAGGACGTGCTGAACCATCTCCGGCGCCGAAGACTGTTCGCAAAGCTCGGCCTCACAGTTAGGTTTCTCAACACTCTCTATTTCAGCGGCTTCTGCGAGGACAGCACCAATGCCTCCGCCGTCACCACCGTCCACGCCAACTGCTGCCGCCGCATCGCCGCCAAGATGGCGGATCTGAGTCAGGCGGGCCGCGATTTCAGGCGCTATGATGGATTGTCGCCGGCAGCGAAGTTGAGGTTCAAATGGTCGAACCATAGCGCGTGCATGAATTCATGGTCGTAATCTATGTATAGTGACGAACTTTGATTTTTGTGGGATTGTTATTGTTTCTTGAAATCTGTATGATCGATTTTAATTACTCCAATCGTTTTAATTGGGTGTATTTTTTTTTTTTTTATTTGTTCTACTCAGAGTTCATTATATTAAAAATAATCACACGTTAATACTAAAATATTATTTAACATATCATCGAAAAATACAATAATATATTCAATTAGCTCTTTAACTAAATTGTTATAAACAAAAATTCTTTCGGTGATGCAATCTAAGTTTATTTATGTTATTAAAAAATATAAGAACAAACCGAAGATTTTATTATGAAAACGACAAAAATTTTGACTAGATTTGGTTAGGCTGAGCTCAAACCAAACTCGGAACACAAATCGATACAAACACACCTAACTAGCAACTACACTGAAGAACCGACCCGAAACCACACGTCACACACAAATCCAATCCCCAGAAAAAGATACAAGGCGAAATAGAATAAATACAAACACCTACAAGTTGAATGAGCCCCTTGCGGCTACGAACAACAACAAATAGGGAGAAAAATAGCGCCTCAGGAACTCCATAAGTTACAAAAGAAAAAGCGCAACCAAAAACCGCCGGGAAAGGTCGCCGGAGAGGATGGACGGAGAGGTCGAGAGAGAGGGGCTAGAGAGGGCGAGTGTAGAGTGAGAGAGTGTTCATATCGAATGACGGCTGCCCCTCTCACCCTCCATATATATATCTAGGTTAAAAGAGATCCAACAGTCAAGATTAAAACCCTAAATCGAATGGTCAGCGCAGCGTCTAAGAAAGACGCGGATCCTCAGCGGGTATGAGTCAAGGGACCGGGTCAGGATAAGTCGGTAGCTTTGGAAGTCGGGTAGCTTTGGGTCAAGCACAAGATCGGTCAGATCAAGATAAGTCGGTAGGTTTGGGTCAAGCACAAGGTCGGCCAAAGGTCGCGGGTCACAGGTCGGCTCATGGGTTAAGGATCGCGGGTCGACTCATGGGCAAGTTGGTAGCCGGAGAAGTCGGCAGCGAGGGAAGTCGGTAGTCAGGGAAGTGGACCATGAGCCAGGGCCAAGGCTCATTTGGACTGCATGATTAGGTGTGTGTCTTATTTGGAGTGGATTCAATTGAACAAAAAAGTTTAACAAAATTATTCAATTTTTCAAATGTCACTGATCCCACAAATTCAAATAATTTTAATATTTTCAAATTATAGTGGATCTCCCTGCCATCCAAATCCATGTTTACATTTTTTGGTATTCTCATAAAAAATATTATTATTTTCTTTTTTAATTAAAAAGAAAATTATTATTATTTTTATTTATTTTTAATTATAAATAGAAAAAAGCAACAATCATTAGACATTTTTGCTAAAGTTTATGCCTAAACATTTGAACACATAATTGAATGACGAAAAGAGTATTAAAAATTATATAATATTATCAAAACTTATATAAAATAATATCTTGAAATTAAAAATATAATATTATATGTATTATTAGAAAATAAAAAAGTATAAAAATAAATAATTGTCGTGAATTTTATAAAATAATAAAGAGAAGGAATTAAATGTGGTGCTGTTATAAGAATTGTTAAAAATAAAATAATAATTTAAACATTGATATAGATATAACAGTGAACGAAAGAGATAAAATAAAAATAATCATTACAATAAATCGTTAGCTTCATAATTTAAATTACACACTTTATTAGGGGGGCTGAGGATTCATGTGGGGATGTTTGGGACGGATTTTTGCAGGTTGAGATTTACCCTGCTAGAAAATATTAAAATTTACGATTCGCACCGTCTCGTTTCAATTTGATTCTCAGGATCGTGTCACGGGGCCAATTCAACAAATTCATTTCTTTAAAAAATAAATAAAATATAATTTTTTAAAAAATAAATAAATAATATAATTTATATTGTATAAAAATATAAATAAATTGCAATAATTATTAAAATATCAGAGTTCAATTTCAAGAAGGGATGGACTTTTAGTAACATCCGTAATTTGCTCCGGATCTGACCGGGTCTAAAACTCAAAATTCAATCCTCCGCCCCGAATCAATTTTTTTAGACCTGAATCCGCCCCATTAAAACCGGATCCGAGACAAATATGGGACTAACCCGCAACATTTGACATCCCTAATTCCATGCCATCATAGACAGTTCACCTATATATATATAGATGCATAATGTGCATGCACCCCACGTCTACCCAACTCCCACGATTCGTTATTCTATTTAGATTATCTGACAATATAATAATAATAATAATAATAATAATAATAATAATAATAGGAGCATGTTCGAGCATTAACAAAACCCAAGGATAAATTAATCTGATTCCTGAGTGCAATGGATCGCATGACTGAATAAGAAACAGGCAGCATATTATATATATATATATATATATATATATCACGATCATAGTAATATTAATGGCAGGCCTTTACGACAATTTCTCTGAAAAATCGAAATGTCTGTTGGTGTTCATCATATGCATAATTTGCACTCTCTGCATAGAAATGGAAGACATAATCAGCATCGGCAAGACCCAAACTTTCAGACATACTACGGTAAGTAATTATATATTGTGTGGTAAGTTTTGGAATTAAGTGTTGTATTTTGAATAATAAATACAAACACAAACTTTTAGTATTTATTTATTTATTTATTTTTTTCTGTAAATCGACTTGTATAAATTTGTGGTTCATATGATCAGAACAACGACATAGCAAAAATTGACAAACTCGAAGAGGCATTGGCGGCGACTAGTACGAGGAACAAGACTGTAATAATATCCTTCGTGAATAAGGCATATGTGGAAGGGAATAAGACGACAATGCTGGATGTGTTCTTGTACGGTTTCTCGAATGGCGAAGGGACTCGGGAGTTGATGAAGCATCTTTTGATCGTGGCGATGGATGGAGCCTCGTACAAGCGATGCCGATCTCTGAGGCTACATTGCTACAAGTTGGAGACACAAGGGGTGGACTTTGAAGGCGAAAAGGTTTACATGTCCGAAGAATTCATAAGGATGATGTGGAGAAGAACTTTGTTCCTTGGAGAAGTCCTCCAACGTGGTTACAACTTCATCTTCACGGTAAGGCAGCTTATTCATTGCATTCATTATTATTATTACTCTTATATATATAATCAGTAATTTAAAAGTATACTCAGTCTGTTCATTCAACTTTTTTTTTTTTTTTTTAGATGAATTGATTTTTATTTTTTTTTGGTATGAAAAATTGTGTTAGTAATACTAAAAATAATATTTTGTGCTGAATTGTTGATTTTTTTTAGTGGATAATATATATTATATTAATATGGATGTATATTTATATTTTTTAATAATATTTATGAGGAATTGTTTAATTGAGAAATTTGAGTGAACAAACAGACTCTCTCCTTTGGAAGGGGATTTTTCAGCTTTACTTTGATGTTAAAACATCATTATTTTTTAATTTCTATATTCAAGCAAAATGGTATAATTAGTCCAAACGAATAGAGTAATAGAATATATATATATATATATATAAGTAAAATTGTCCATAACCCTCTTATGATTTCGAAACTCAGTATAAATTTCTCTTATACTTTAAAAGTTGTGTGCTATTCTCTTATACTTTAAAAAACTTTTCTTCTCCAACAAAAATAGAAAAGCGTTGCATGAAACTCCTACGTGGTTTCGAAGCTCAGTGTAAATTTTCATTTTATTTTAAAAATTGCATAGCGTCCCCTTATACTTTCAAAATATTGCATAAAATTCCTCGTCGATCGAAAATCATCTTTTCATCACACAAGAGTGGTTTTCATAGCAGTGGAAAGTTTAATAGGATACTATATAACTTTTAAAGTATAGGAAAATTTTACGTTAAATTTTGAAATCATAGGAAAGTTAAAACCAATTTTACCTATATATATATACATATATACTACCTTCGTCCGGCTTTAAGGGTCTCATTTACTTTTTGCTTGTTGATCTTTAAATATTAATTATTATATCAAAAGGTAGTACAAATTAAGAAAAAATTGCAAAAGTACTTTCATTAGTGTCTTATAATACTAATAGAAGGACATTTTTACAAAAAATTATACAAATATAAGAATATTTTTAATGTTAAGAGTAACTGTGATCTTAGAGGCAGACGGAGGAAGTATAATATATTGGAAATGAAATTAGTAAAAAGTTGTTGGACGATATATTTCTATTAAAAGCTATGAACTGAATAGTAGTAATTCGTATTAAAACCAAAACCAATTAAAGACGGACTGCAAGCAGGACATGGACGTGCTGTGGCTGAGAAACCCCTTCCCATACCTAACAACGACCGAGCCGGAACTGGACCTCCAGATCAGCACCGACAAGTACAGGTCAGCATATCCACGTGTCAACACCGGGTTCTACATGATCCGATCCAACAACAAGACCCGGGCCCTTTTCCACGCCTGGTACGCCCGCAAGGACACCTCTCCGGGCCTTAAGGAGCAGGACGTCCTCCAGGCTCTCATGCTCCGCGGTGTTTTCCGCCGCTTGAGCCTCACCGTCAAGTTTCTCGACACTCTCTACTTCAGCGGCTTCTGTCAGGACAGCCGCGACCCCGCCGCCGTCGCCACCGTCCACGCCAACTGTTGCCGTGGCATGGCCGCCAAGCTAACCGATTTGACGGCGGTCCTCCGTGACTGGAAGAGATATAATGTTAATGATAAAATGACGCCGTTCCGGTGGTCATCTCACTCGGCTTGTAGGAAGTCGTTTGGTTAAACAATGTCGTTTTCCATGAATGTTTAGGTTTGATTTTGTTCGACACCAATTATTATCGCAAGATTTAAATTAATTGAATATATATATATATATGCCTTGTTTGTTGGAATTAATAGAATAAAATGATTATTCAAAAATACAATTAGGGTTACATCTTCATATATATATATATATATACAATTGATATTGGTCGGGCCATTTACATAAATATATATATATATATCAACATCCTCCCTTAAACCCAAGGTGGGAGTGTGAAAAACCAGCTTGAGTTTTCTCAAGAATGACTGAAAGCGGCCGGGTAAACGAGGCTTCATGAAGCAATCAGCAGTCTGATCAGCAGAAGAAGTGGGGGACAAGGAGACGTTTACTTTAGCAACGTGATGACTTACAAGGTGACAGTTGATCTCAGTATGTTTCGTACGCTCGTGAAAAACATCATTTGTCGAAATCTTCATGGCACTCTGAGTGTCACAATGAATAGTACTAGCAGAGTGCTGAGACACACCGAGATCAGCCAGTAACCATCGAAGCCATAGAAGCTCGGCAGTGGTATCGACAAGAGCTCTATATTTGGACTCCTCACTGGACCGGGAGATGACCGTTTGTTTCTTGTTGTGCCAAAAAATAAGCGAATCACCATGAAAGAAAAAAAAAACCGATAGTCGAGCGACAATCAGTGGGATCTCTCGCCCAATCAGCATCAGAGTACCCAGTTAAAACCAAGGACGAGCGAGCTGAATAATTGAGACCATGGAGGAGAGTGTCTTTGACGTACCGAAGAATCCGTAAAACAGCAGAATAATGAGTCGTCCGAGGAGCGGACATAAACTGACTGAGGATATGAACAACATAGGCAGTGTCAGGTCGAGTAACAGTAAGATATATCAAGCTTCCCACTGGCTGACGATATAAGGTAGGATCGTCAAGAGGGACGCCATCCATTAGAGTAATGCGACAGTCAGAATCAAGAGGCGTAGGCTCGGTCTTAGAGTTAGTGAGACCTGCTCTAGACAGAAGGTTGGAGACATACTTGGCTTGAGAGAAAAAGTACCCATCGGAGGTGTCGGAAATCTCAAGACTGAGAAAGTACCGAAGAGGACCCAAACTCTTCATTTTAAAGTGGCTATGTAGATGATCTTGTAGCTCAGAGATGCCGGACTGGACTGATCATCTCCTGTGATGATCATGCCGTCTACAAAAAGTAACAGAATAGTAACACCAGTGGACCCGCGTCGAATGAATAAAGCAGATTCATGATGGCTGGAAGTAAAATCTAGGGGTGAGCATTGGTCGGTTCAAACCGAAAAAACCGAAAAAAATTTCGATTCTAACTATTTGGTTTGGACTGTTCGGTTAATTGGTTCGGTTCGGTCCAAAACTAAATTTATAAATTTCGGTTTCGATTCTGTTATGGTTTCCAATTTTTAATTTTGGTTAATCGAAATAACCGAACTTTTAAAAATAATGAAAAATTATATATTAATAAATAATATATTATAATTTTGAGTATTTGTATTTGATTGTATATTAAAAATATATATTAATAAATAAAAGTTCAGTTTCTTCGGTTTTAAACCGAACCGAACCGAACTAGTTTGGTTCAGTTTATTTGGTTTTGAAAAACTTTGGTTCGGTTTCGGTTTCAATTTTTATAAACCGAAAACCGATCAAAATTGAAAGTTCAGTTCGGTTTGAACCCGGACCGACCGAATGCACACCCCTAAGTAAATCCAAGCTGGAGCAGAGTAGAGCTAAATTTCGAAAACCAAGCTCGGGGTGCCTGATTCAAAGCGTATAGAGCACGACGAAGTTTACATACCTTGGAGAATGTGGGAAAACCAGGAGGAGGAGACATGTACATGTCCTCGAATAAATCACCATGCAGGAATGCATTCTTGACATCAAGCTTGACGAGGACGTCCAATCTTCAAGCATTCAAATGCCCGTGGGACCCATCACTCGAAGCCGAGCTCATCAGTTTCAAAATTCCGTCACTGCATTGATCGGACGATCTTTCATGGAGAATCATTTTAAGGATGATACTTGGAGACCACTTAGCCCTCACCTGACGCTCCTTTAATGGGACCCGCAAGAATCCCAATTGAAATATTAAGAGAATCGCTAATCATGGAAGATTATCAAGGAAATCATCACTTATGGAGAGAATCGCTAATCATGAAAAATTATCAAGGGAATCATCACTTACAGAGAGAATCACTAATCATTGAAGTATATCAAGGGAATCATCACTTATGGAGAGAATCACTAATTATGGAAGATTATCAAGGGAATCATCACTTATGGAGGCTTCTAGAAGTTACCTTAATATATATTTCCTTTTATTATAAGTTTCCATATAGTATAATTCCATATCTAAAACTTTCCTAATTATTTATTTTCTTATAGTTTGACTTACCTTTTGGTTTATTTTCTTTATTATTTGTTGCCTTTTATTTTACTCAAGGACCTCTATATAAGGTCCTTGCCTATTATTGTAATGGAAACATTTTCATTTTTAACATCTTGAATTGAATTTCACTTTTATAATTTTATAGTGTTAGGGAGTGATTTTCTCACATTTAGAATCTCAAATCGGGTCTTTGGAGTGATTCCATCGGTTCGTGGCTTCCAATCCTTTGCAGTGGGATTTAGCCTAATGTTTGTGTTTTACCTATGGATTGATTTCAGGTCTGAGACTTATTCTCATAGTTGGTTATCATCTATACTAATTCACATTCTCTACACTATCTTTTCTTCTTCTTCTCTTTTCTTTTATACATATTCTTAACCCATTTGTTCTATTGAACTTTGTGGGTAAGAAAATTATATTGGTTATAATTATACACGGTCAGGCCGTGTCAAAGCTGGTGCAGGGGCCACTGACGAGCGGCATCAATAGCTATAAGACAACGGACGGAGGTGAGATGACCAACGGGAGCAAAGGTCTCCTCATAGTCGATACTGTACTTCTGGGTGTAGCCTTTAGCTACCAAACAAGCCTTGTAGCACTCTATGGATCTATCAGAGTATGTTTTGATCCGGAATACCCACTTACAACCGATAGGTTTCTTGTCTCAAGAGAGATAAACCAAATCCTACGTATGGGTTTTTTCCAAAGCCTTTAACTCCTCAGACATAGTCTACCGCCACAATGGGTCCGCATACACCTTACGAAAGGACCTGAGCTCATGGTGGGACAAGGTGGCAGACAAGCACTGATAATCGAGTAAGTGACTAGAGAGATGACTAACCCGAGTGGAATGGCAGGGGCCAGGATCAGGGTCCGAGGTCGAAGTAGTGTTAGGCTCTGGTAATGGTGAGGGATCAGAGTCGGGAATAGTAGTAGGCTCGGGGATCAGGTCGGTTCAGGAGGTGCAACCGAAACATCGTCAGGATTAGGGAATGGAGCTGCGTCGTCGGAAGGAAATAGAGGTGAAGAGGACAAGGTAAAGAACGGGGACGAATGATCAAAGGGAACTCGAAAGTAAGACAAGGTAGAGAACTTAGTATTCTCCTAGAATGTGACATGACGAGAAATACATAACCTATTGAAAATAGGACCCCAACAACGATGACCTTATGCTCTACCCCGTATCCCATGAAGCAACACAGATGCTCGCGAGGTTCTAACTTAGTGCACTCATGAGGAGGGAGGATGACGAAACTTACACAACCAAAAGGGCGGAGAAGACTATAATTAGGGGCTCGATTAAATAGTCTTTTAAATGGACTGACATTACCCATGATAGAGGAAGGGAGACGATTTATAGTGTAGACAGTAGTAAGTGCAGCTTCCCCCCAAAAACGATCCGGACAAGAGGCAAATAAGAGAAGGGTGCGGACTGTATCGAGGATATGACGGTTTTTACGTTCGGCGCGACCGTTTTGTGGAGATGTACGGGAAGGAGCACTGGACAATAGTACACTGATCAGATAGGAAACGGAGGAATGAAGATTCTGTAAACTCAAGAGCATTATCTGTCCGGAGAGTTTTAATGGTGGAGGAAAATTTGGTATGTATCATTTTAGCAAAGTCTATATAAATAGATGAGACTTCATAATGTTATCGCATGAAGTAAATCCATGTAAAGCGAGAATAGTCCTCGATAAAGAGCACAAAATAAGGAGAACCATTCATAGAGACAATGGGTGAAGGTCTCCAGATATTAGAGTGAACTAATGAAAATGGAGTATCCACAACATAAATACTATGAGGAAATGACAAAGCAGATTTTTTCGCAACGAAAAATCCACACAATTAAAAGACTCAAAACTGACATAACCCAAAAGATCCTAACTAATCAAAGACCTAAGTTTATTAGAGGACGCATGACTGAGACAATGATGCCACTGAAGGCAGGATGGTGTAGAGGTGGTGGCACCAGAAATAGAGGGACGAGGGAGCTGAAGTGACTCAAGCTCAAATAAGCGGCCCGTCTTCCGGCCCTTCCCGAAGGTCCTTCCGGTTTCCTGCTTCCTAAACCTGCACACCAGAAGAAGAGAAGATTACTGTGAGACCTTGATCAACTAATTGACCAACTGAGATTAGATTCAAGGTTAATTGATGAATGCAATAGGTGTCAGAGAGGGATAAGGACGAGGTGGATGTATGTCCAGTATGGGTGATGCACATATGGGTACCATTTTCGGTAAGGATAGGGGGTAGAGATCTACGGTGGATGTAGAGGTCATAAGGCGTATATCAGAGGTCATATGATTATTACAAGCAGAATCAAAATACCAAGAAGAGTTACCTGATGTGGTAGACATGGCGCTATTTGATGATAGAAGATGTTTAAGAAGAGCCTCAAAGTCCTGAATCGTAGAAGGCGCATGCGCAGGCGTGACAGAGGCTATGACAAAAGAGGTACTAGATTGAGGAGGTCCACGAACATGCCGAGGCTTGAAATTACTGTTGCGAGAGCGAAACGGCCTAGTAGGGCACTGTATAATATGGCCTAAAACATGACAGTAGTGACACTCCACCTTGGGACAGTGACCGAAGTCGTGACCAGAAGACTGAAATTGTTTGCAGCGGAGTTGACGACTCTTAGTAGGAGTTCAGGTGGTGACCGCAAGAGCATAATCAAGCGGAGGGGCCTTGGCTAGGTGAAGACGAGTTTCTTCAAAAAGAATCTCCTGAATAGTTGCATCCAATGTAAGAAGTGGGTGCCGATGTAACAAGGAGGCACGAACTGCCTCACACTCTGGACACAAAGCCATCAAAACCTGAATTAGGCAAAGATGATCAGGACTGGTCTCAGCCTGATACAACTCATGCCAAATGGGTTGTACTTGCGCAAGAAAGTCGTTGACAGAGTGTCCTAGTTCCTGTTTTAGATCATAGAGTGTACTTCATAGCTGATAATAGTGCGTCAAACCAGTAGCACGGAAACGGACTACTAGGAAATCCTACGCTGTTTTCGCAGTTTCAAATTGGGCAAGTTGCACATGCATCGTCAGAGTGGAAGTGTTGCGCAACCAGGTAAGAATATGATGGTTCTTACTGTCTCAATCCTCAATTTTTTCAATATATAATTCAACAGCTTTAGTGGTAGCCATAACTTCACCTATAGAAATCGGAGCAATAGGAGCAACTATATCTACTGTAACAATCCGCCATAACTTCTTGTCTATAAAAAAAATTTCATCGATTGTGCCTATAAATTATAATTATCCCCATATAAAGTAATATTAATCGGAACATGGACATCCATCTTTTCCATATCAAAAGAGAAAAAAAAAACCACAAATAATATCCAAAGACGAAATCGCAGGATCAAAAGTAGCCAACAGAAGTACGGACAGAAGATCGAATCGAATATGAAACACAAATGAACATATGATCACAGAATAGTGCTCAAACGAAAAAACAAATTATACCATTATAGACAAAATCAAATTCCGAGCAAGACATAGGAAAAATCTCCGGCAACCGCCGCCGCACGCGCCGCCTAGCGTCCGACGGCGAATTTTTGTTAGGTGCATGAGAGCGCCACGCGCCGCCGTTCGCCGTGAGTTTTCGGGTGCCGGCTGGTCTTGCGGTGGCAGACTTAGTGGTGGGGGCGGTGTCGATCGAAGATCACCGGAAAGATGGGAAACGGAACATGCAGTATGTTTTGGTTATACGAGGAGAAATTGAGACTCTGACAACATGTTGGAATTAATATAATAATAATATTTCTCAAAAATACAATTAAAATTACATCGTCATATATATACAATTGATATTGAGCCGGACCATTTACATAAATATAAATATATATATATATATACAATATATATATCAACGTTGTTGAACCTAAGGCTTTATTTGTTCGTAGATTTTAAATCAAAATTTTGATACTTCTAAAAAAAGAAAAAATTATAAAAATATAAATCAATACTCCTTCCATCCCTTTTGAAAAATAAGTCATTTGGAGTTTTTTAGTAGATTAATTAATAATAGTATTTTATTTATTAATGAAAGTGTGTAAGAATATTTCACATTTTTTACTTTTGATTTTATGTAAAAAGTAAGTGCATGTGTAATTATATGTTTGTAATTTAAATAAAAGTTAAGGGTATTTTGGTACTAGTATATTATTACTTTTTGCTAAAAAAATAAATAAATAAATAGATACTTTGGACTGAGACAAACGAAAATGGTAAAAATGATACTTTATAATTGGACAGATGGAGTATATTTTTATTGTTCTTCAAATAATTATTTTAATTCAAAATTTTATTGAACTAACCACCTCATAATCACTAATCAACTTATATTACTATTGGGTTTAGCAAATAACATATATTAGGATGAGTCTATAATGTGAAGATTTGGGCTAAAATGATGTCAAATGGTCTAAATGAGTGGATTGTGCAAGATTTTTAGGAGAATTAAAGATAGAAGAAGTTCAAAAAATTTTGGACATTCGGTGAGACTTGAGTTTCTTTTGGTTGAGTTTGAGAAAATTTGATTTGGATTTTGTATTAAAAAAAAATATTTGATGAGATGTTTTGTGAGGAAAGAAAGTATAATTATTTCGG